GCCCAGGCCCTGATGGATTCATTGCAGAATTTTATAAGAAATTCAGAGAAGATTTAATACCAATAGTCCTCAAACTCTTCAATGAAATTGAAAATGAAGCAATTCTCCCTAACTCATTTCTGGAGGCAAGTATTATACTGATACCAAAACCAGAGAAAGACCCAACCAAGAAACAGAACTACAGACCAATCTCCCTGAGTATAGGTGCAAAGATACTCAATAAAATACTAGCAAATAGAATGCAGCAAATAATCAAGAAAATCATACACCATTACCAAGTTGGATTCATTCCAGGAATACAGGGATGGTTCAATATTCACAAATCAATTAATATTATACACCATATCAATAAAGCCAAAGACACAAACCATATGATCATCTCAATAGATGCAGAGAAAGCTTGCTACAAAGTTCAACATACATTCATGATAAAAACTCTACACAAAATAGGAATAGATGGTCCTTACCTCAATCTGATCAAAGCCATCTATGACAAACCAACAGCTAACATCATACTAAATGGACAAAAACTGAAAACTTTTACTTTCAAATCAGGAAAAAGACAAGGATGTCCACTGTCACCACTCCTATTCAACATAGGTTGGAAGTATTAGCCAGAGCAATTAGACAAGAGAGAGAAATAAAAGGAAGAAGGAAAGGAAGAAGCAAAATTATCACTATTTGCAGATGACATGACACTTTGCATGGAAGACCCCCAAAACTCCACAAGAAGTCTCCTTGAATTCATCAACAAATTCAGCAGTGTAGCTGGATACAAAGTCAACACCCAAAAATTGATAGCATTCCTATACACAAACAACAAACGGACTAAGAGAGAAATTAAGGAAACTATACCTTTCACAATAGCATCACAGAAATTGAAATATTTAGCAGTCAATCTAACAAAAGAAGTAAAAGATCCATGCAATGAAAACTACAGTACTCTGAAAAAAGAGATCAAAGAGGCTTTCAAAAAATGGAAAATCATTCCTTGCTCATGGATAAGAAGAACCAACATTGTGAAAATGGCCATACTCCCAAAATTGTTATACAGATTCAATGCAATTTCCATTAAACTACCATGAGCATACCTCACAGATCTCAAGAAAACACTCCTTAAGTTCATCTGGAACCCGAAGAGACCCAGAATAGCAAAAGCAATCCTGGGCAACAAACACAAGTCAGGTGGAATCACAATCCCTGACCTGAAATTATACTACAAAGCTACTGTCATAAAATCAACCTGGTATTGGCTAAAAAAAAGACCAGAGGATCAATGGAACAGACTGGAAGAAAGAGATACAACCACAAACACACTCAGCCACCTAATCTTTGACAATGGGTCAAACAAACTCACTGGAAGAACGGTAGCTTCTTTAATAAATGGTCCTGGAAAAATTGACTTGCCACTTGCCAGAGACTGAAAATAGACCCAAGTCTATCACCATGCACCAAACTCAAGTCAAAATGGATCACAGATCTCAATATTAAAACAGAAACACTAAATCTATTAGGAGAGAAAGTAGGTAAAAATCTTGAAGACATAGGGGTAGGCAGAGAGTTTATGAACAAAAACCAAACTGCATGGGGAACACTTCAAACAAGCAACAATTGGGATTGCATCCTACTGAAAAGTTTCTGCACATCTAAAGAAACTGTCAGCAGAGTAAAAAGAAAACCCACAAACTGGGAAAAAAATTTAACTGACTGTCCCTCAGACAAAGGTCTTCTGTCTAGAATATATAAAGAATTAAAAAACATCAGCCCCCCAAATTCAGAGACCCAATGCAAAAATGGGCATCTGAGATGAACACACACTTCTTAGAGAAAGAAATACAAATGACAAATAGATACATGAGAAAATGTTCAACATCATTAGTCATTTGAGAAATGTATATTAAAACAATGTTGAGATTTCATCGCACCCCAGTAAGAATGGCTATCATTAAGAAATCAGCGAATAACAAATGCTGGTGAGGCTGTGGAGAAATAGGAACTCTTTTCCACTGCTGGTGGGAATGAAGGCTGGTGAATCCACTGTGGAAATCAGTTTGGAGATTCCTCAGCAAGCTAAGTCTTGAGGTCCCATTCAACCCAGCTATTCACCTTCTGGGTATTTTCCCAGAAGATCTGAAAACATCATATCACAGCGATATATGTGCACCCATGTTCATAGCAGCACAATTGTAATCGGTAAATTGTGCAAGCAATCCAAATGCCCATCCACTGAGGAATGGATAAAAAAAATTGTGGTACTTGTATATAATGGAATGTTACTCAGATATAAGGAAAGATAAACTTGAGGCTTTTATAGGTAAATGGTAACAACTGAAGACCATACTCATAAGTAAAATAAACCAGACCTCCATGTGTAAGTAACGTATTGTCTTACTAGTGGAAGAACCTGAAACAGTGAATAAAAATTAGGAATTATGACATTGTGAAACGAAAGGAAAACGCTCAAAAGTGAAGAGCAACTGGGGTGAGGGAACAGAGAAAAGAAAGAAGGAGAAATTATCTATGTATGTATATACAGGATAGCTAATGTAGCTGTACTACTGACTTCTATCACTTTACTGAAAGGAACAGTTAATGATTAATTATTTGATCAATCTTATATGTCTCTTTTTCTTTTCATGAGAAACCACTTTGAGGATATCAACATGTAATACAACAACCATTGTTAATTTCCTACCACTTTATCTGTAACTCTGTATTGCATGTATTGTTTTTATGGTGTTTTGTAAATGGATGTCTATTAATATGCTTTCCTTTTTTATGCTTAAAATAAATTAAAAAAAATTCTGTAAGCAGTGAAGTAATTCTGAGACTTTTATAAAATAACTAGATCATACCATTTGCCAGTTAATTGAAATCTCTTAAATTCAGATTATTTCTAATTATTTCTAATCCATGGTTTTTCAGAGGCACTTTTTGGAGTGTAAATATTCTGGCAACCCAATTTGCTGTTTAATCCTGTAGTCTGATCTAAATTTAAAGCAGCACTATTCCAGACTTCATGATAACTTCATGTTACTAATTTTATTAACATATTAAATATAGTTACTATCTTCTTATTTTAGAAAGCAGTTAAAATGGAATTTAGTAAGTGGCTTCAAGTGTATCTATGCAGGCCTTTAGTGAAAGGAGTTTATTAGTTGTCTCATTTTATGCTTTAGATACATTGCATGTGTTACCATATTTACAAATACTACTTTTTATAAATTTATATATAATTTTAAATATTATCTAGGGCTGAAAAATATGCCTGATGTAAAATTATATGTATATTGTTCTAGAACTCCAAAAGTTGTCACATTATATGTATATAAAAATTAAAGAAAGAAAAGGCCTTAAAAACAGTTGTGATATTTTTCACTTAGAAGATGGAGTTGAAACTACTGTCTTTTGCAAAATAAATAATTTATTTCACATGTGATAGACTTAATTTCATGAAGCTTTTTGTTTAACTTTAAAGATCAGTAGGTATTGCTAGGTTATATATGAGATTCAGGATTTAATTTATTTTCCTTAGAATCACATTTTTTATTGAAAAAATTGTGAAAATACTGACAAATTAATATCAGAATTTCTACAGAGCAAACATAGTAAGGGGATGAAATATTTCACTCATAATATTGAACTTGAATCTATTCTGGAACAACTGAATAACTGAAGTTAAAAAACTCATAGAGAAATGAAATAAATGGGAATTAAATAATGGAGTTGCATGTTTTAAAATGTGTAAAGTTAGGAAAGAAAACAGTAAAATATCTTGAATAGTTTTAGTGACTTATTTTTCATTGAAACTAATTTTCAAATGAATGACTCAATGGCAGTTTTCTTTAAGAAACAACCAACTGCATTATTTTACAAATTATTAACTTTAACATACCTGAACAGAGACATCCAGCCTGAATAAAACAACAGCAAAGAGATCAACAGGATGAATTTGCTTTGGAGCATTCAAGAAAACCTATTTGTGAGTCAAATTGATGTCATATAATTTATTGGTGATAATTTGTTTCTGAAGTTTTAGCCTTTTGTTTGTAAGGTTCCTATGAGACCTAACTCTCCCACACACCAACGTGCCTGCCAGCAGAGGTGCTACTCTCTGCAGAGAATTCAGCTCAGTACAGAAGTTGTCATCTGCAAGCACAGGATAACATGAAGGAGATAAGATAGCATGAGGAATTTTACAGGATATGGGACACTTGCGGACATCTGGGAACATCTGGAGATCCCTGAGAATTTACACTGGACACTTCAAGGACTCTGCTCACTGAGGTGTGAGACTGCCAGAGAACTTTGACCACAGATGTTTATTAAAATCTTCCCACCTAATGTCCCCTGTGTTTTCTCCATCCTTATAAAGAGGACACACTTTTCTTGGTTGTGGCGGAAGGTCTTATTGCGCACTCTGCCTGCCTGCACCAAGACACGGTAGAGTCCATGTGGTGTTACACAAGCCTGGTGGCTTGGTCCACCCCTCACGAGTTACATGTGTTATACTATTCTTGTTCAAATTTTCCCTAAATATTACTGGAAGAGAGGTTGAGAGAGCTTTCCTATGCCCAAAGAAACCTGCACTGCTTATTTTCAAGCATTACTGGATCATTCCATAACAATAAAAAGTCATTGTCACTCTTTCACCATTGACTCCTTACTATTACTGAGTTATCAGTTGGATGCTTTATTGGCTTATGATGAGCTCCAGTTACTGAAGCATTAAAATACCTTAGGCAAAGGTAGATTTGTTGAGAGAGTAGCATGACAAGGATCTTAAGAATGATTTAAAGTTTTGGGACATTAGAAAGAAAAGAATCAGATATAAGAAATTTTGTTTTATTTATTTAATTAGGTCCTTAAATAATTATGTGAATTTAGGAAACTGATAAACCAGAGCAGAAAATTGGGGAAACAAAAGCAGAATTATATTACTAACATTCAACATTATAAAAGTAAGCAATCTGTATTGGAGAAAAACCATATAAACTTACAGTTGTTGTATAAGCAGCTTCTGGGTCATCTTCCAGCACTCGAGAGAGACCAAAATCAGAAACTTTGCATACTAAGTTGCTGTTCACCAATATATTCCTAGCTGCGAGGTCTCGATGAACGTAGCCCATATCCGAAAGGTACTTCATGCCTGACGCAATGCCTCGGAGCATGCCGACCAACTGGATGACGGTGAAGTGGCCGTCGTGTTTCTACAAGGGAAGCAAATTTGTTTAAATTGATTGCTTATAAAGCAGCGTGCATGTGTGCATGTGTGTATGCTAAAGAAACTCCTTGGGTTTATTTTACTAGATCCAGTGTGGATGGGCATCATGCTTGCTGAAAAAAAACCTAGTTGGAGGTGGTAAGGGACAATTAAACAAAGGACAGCAAAGAATCACACAGACTTCCAGGAAAAACGATTCCAAAAACTTTTGGTAATGAGGACTAAAGTCAAAATAACAAGAGCAAAGGCTACTGAGGGAATAGTGTGTGTTTCTTTGGCTGTGAGCTTTGAACCTGCGCACGGGTCGGCAGAAGGACAGTGAAGCCTATGATTGGATGAAACCTGTGTGGTAACTAGAAATGCTATGAAAAGTGGTAGTCATACCAAGTCCTCAGGAAAACGAAAATGTGACGGCAGAAGTAAACAAATATGGGAAAGAAGCAGCAAAAACAATAAAAGTGAGAACAAAGAGAAAGTAACTAGATTTTAAATTTTATTTTTGGTACAAAAAGAAAAAAACTAACAATTGACTGAAAACAACACTGCTCTGCATCCTGGTTGAGAGGATTAAATTAAGTTCTGTATTATGAATAATGAGCCAGGCTGTGTAAGGCTATGTAATAGTTAATTACATCTTATTTCCTCCTTGATTTAAAAACAATGTAGGTTTTACAAAAGAGTTTAAAAAATCCAGTTGTCATCTGCATATATCAACAAAAATGCATACAAATAGTAACCTCAAAGTTAGAGAAAATTAAGATAAATTAAAATAAAAATATGTAAGTTTGAAAAATAATGCATGTTGTTCTACTTAATTATTTGGAGATGCTGTTTTTAAATCGAATTATAGGGAAACATTCAAAATTCTCATTTTCATTTATCAGAAAAAATTTAAGAATAATAAATCCCTAGTAAAGATTATAGGGTTATATTATCTTATATAATATAGAAGAAGCACAAATAAAAGTATCTTAAAAAATTTTCCAATTCAAAGCAATTCTCATTCACATTTGATTTAAAATTTCAGTGTAATCTGTAATCCTAGCACTCATGGAGGCTGAGGCAGGAGGATCACAAATTTGAACCCAGCCTGGGCAACTTGATTACTTAGCAAGATCCTGTTTCAAAAAAATAAAATTAAAAAAGCTAGGAATGGGTGGTTTCCCAGAAGGAGGGCTTCCGGCGCACAGGGAGCTGTGGGTGGGGAGCGCCAGCCTTCTGGCTGGCTAGCTTCCTGCCTGCTAGCTCCCGGAGGGTGGGCC